CCCTCTGGGGACACCACCATACACAGCTTTAATGTACCTTGAATGTTCTTAAATACATATGTATACCACTTGGCTAGCCAGGTGCTCTTTACAGATTGGGAATCCATTTTAACTGGCACCAAAGAAAGGAAAATATTTCATTTTTGGCTGATATTATTTGAAGGAACAAAAACAGGGCATTAACATTTCCCAGTTTGAAAGAAAAATAATACTGCTCTATCTGAACGAAGCCTAAAAATAAATCCATCTATTAAACTGTTGTAAAACCTGTCTTCCCATATCGTGTAACTTGGAGAATAAAGCAACAACTGAATTTTGAATAGTGTCCTTGTTGAAAAGTTCCAATATAGTATCCAAAATATACTAATTAGTGAAATACAATATATGAAAACCAGCTGAGAATTTCTACTGCATGTGGAAAAGCAATTTATAGCAAGACATGAGTAATAATGATAGGCCTAAAGCTGGGAACAAAAAGCTGAAATCCTTAGGCAGCCTCATGTTAGCGCGCGCTCTCTCTCTCTCCTTTTCTTTTCTTCTCTTTTTTTACTGTCCCTTCACCAATTTGAGACTTAACACAATTTATATGAATTTTATGGACACCACCAAACAGGGGTTCTTTTAATATAGCTAAGTGGTACAATTAGTCACCAATTTTCTGATTATAGTCCTTACTCTAGGCATTGGTGAAAGGCAGCTTCTTCGATGGAAAATTAATTACATTAGCTTCGAGAACCAATTGGATTTTCACTCATGAGTTGTGGTCACTTTCGAAATTTTGCAGTACAAAGAATATGATACGGAGCTGGGAGAGAATGCTTAGAATTCTTCAGTTAGCTACTAGGGCCACTTTCTCAAAGGAATGTCACAAATTAGTACTCTTAAATGTAAACCACATTGTCCATTGTTAAGAGGCAGGTCTAAAGGCCATGCTAAATCTGACATTTGGTATAGTTTGGTGCTTAGTAATTGCTTTTTCTCTCATGGATAGTTGGCGGGAGGTGTGGGAATTCAAACCATGGCATGTGGGGAGGGGCATTAACCCATCCCTCCACTCTGCACACATGGTTGGAATCCCCCTCCACAGCTGCTATTTGCTATGCCCTACGACATAGATCAATATGGCATGTGCACCAATTTCTCACATATGGGAAGCGGGGAGACAGTTTCTCCTGGACAGGGTTCTGCTTCCGTAACTTGGGGTGCTCCTGGATTCAACCCTTTTACTGGAGGCTCAAGTGGCCTTGGTGGCTAGGAATGGCTTTTTCCAGCTGTGACTGCTTTGCCAGCTGTGGCCCCTCTAGGGCACATATTCCATTGTTCTGGTAACTTCCATATTGAACCACTGCAAAGCACTCTATGTGGGGTTGCCCTTGAAGATGACTTGGGAACTTCAGTTCTTCCAAAATTGCTGGCTGAGTTCCATGTAGATCACATATTGCCAGATTTAAAACAATTGCACTGGTTGCCAGTTTATTCCCAGGCCCAATTCAAGGTGCTCAAGTTATACTTGCCAAGTGCCCCAGAAAAAAAGGGACATCGTGGGTTTTTATGTGAGATCGCGGCCACCATTTTGGGTGCCGCACTCTCACTCTCTGCTCTTGCCCCAAGAAAAGCAGCCCGGAAGACGCGTCCCGGTTTTGGGTCTGAAAAAGTTGGATGGTATGTCAAGTTAGTGTTTGACTTAGGCCCCCAATATCCTAGACACCACCTCCTTCCTGAAAAATCTTCAAAAGAGGGAGCCCTCTTGGTAGCTTGCTACTTGGGGGAGGAGGACGACTGGGAGAAAGCCGCCCCTAAGATGTGGCACTTAGGTGTGTCTGACATGTTCATTATACAGATGATGAACATTTTGCACAGAGGTTCTATTCCCGGCCATGGCGCATGTTGGCAGAACATGCCCTGCCCTGTCCCCACCCTTTATGTGAAGTTTTTTTGTGACCCTTCTGGTCTCTAATGCATTTTGGGTGAATACTGAAATCTTAAAAAGCAGAGACATCACCCTGCCAACAAAGGGCCATATAGTTAAAGCTATGGTTTTCCCAGTAGTGATGTATGGAAGTGAGAGCTGGACCATAAAGAAGGCTGATCGCCAAAGAATTGATGCTTTTGAATTATGGTGTTGGAGGAGACTCTTGAGAGTTCCATGGACTGCAAGAAGATCAAACCTATCCATTCTGAAGGAAATCAGCCCTGAGTGCTCACTGGAAGGACAGATCCTGAAGCTGAGGCTCTAAAACTTTGGCCACCTCATGAAAAGAGAAGACTCCCTGGAAAAGACCCTGATGTTGGGAAAGATGGAGGGCACAAGGAGAAGGGGACGACAGAGGACGAGATGGTTGGATAGTGCTCTCGAAGCTACCAGCATGAGTTTGACGAAACTGCGGGAGGCAGTGGAAGACAGGAGTGCCTGGCGTGCTCTGGTCCATGGGGTCACGAAGAGTCGGACACGACTAAACGACTAAACAACAACTGAATACTGAATGCTGAATATGAACCTCCAAACCCTTGCCTTTGATACCTGAGATTTTCAGGACCCACCCTATTTTTTAATGATGGCATTGCTTGTCATTGTGTTTTTTAAAAACCGTTTTCAGTGTTCCATTTCAAATGGCTGTGACCCACCCTGGGAGTTAGGGTGAAGGGCAGATGATGAATTAAAATGATAACGATAATCTCCAAGCCGCAAGCACAAAGGAAAATGGAAGAGCACAGAGCGACCAACAAGTCTGGCAGATAGAGTGTCCATTCTATGCTGTTCTATGTGCATGTTCTCTGTGGTTGGACTGCAGGCAGACGGGTGCTTCCACAACCCTCAGCCACAAAAGGCAGCACAGTTTGGCACACATGCACTTCATTGCCTTCATGCTAGGTCTTCAGTTTCTTCTGCCAGGTCTTCTTTTCCTTTTCCCCCCCTCCCCACCCCTTTTTTTTGTCATGGCATATGTGACACTCACTGTGGAAGCACAATGGTCCAGGGGTGGATAGAGGGAGGCTGACAGAAGGACTGGGACGACAGAGAATCAGGGACATTGAGACTGCTGGCGTCTGATCATGGGAACTGCCTTTTTGCATCAGGTTTATGCTGAGTTTAGCTGCTAGGGTTGCTCTTTAGCCACTTAGAATAGCTGAGCCGTCTGTTTCCATAACCTGGGAATTGACCTTCTCTGCTAGGACAATAAAACAAAAAAAAAAATCTTCACTAAATGATGGGGATGCCCATATCAAAAGGTGGCAAAACTAATACCCTGGCCCTAACATTTCCCCCAAAAGTTCTCCATCTTATTTACATATCATGAATATAGCCTAAAAAGGTATGGACCCATCCTCAGGTGATCTCATGCAAAAAACACCACGATGTCCCATTTTCCCAGGACGCCTGGCAGGTATGCCATGGTCTCCTGAGACAGACAGATGCCATTCTTCAGAAAATGGGGAGAAACCTCAGTCGCTCCCATACCCCATTGCCTTTGCATCTGACAAAGGGACTGATAAATATTATACAAAACAAAATATTTTCACAGGTTTCTTAGTCATATCTTTGATAACCACAAGTATTATGGTGGATAACCCAAAGCAGCATTTAAGTTGATTTTCTCACACATGCATTAGTTTTTACCTAAAAGCCTGAAGAGTTCTGCTACAGAGACTTGATTTTAAGCATGCAGTTTTGGGTAGAACTCAAGGGACTTAAGAGTTTTAAATTCAACCGTCTGGTCAGGACTATAAACTTTCAGCAAGAGGCCACAGTGACCAAAAAAAGAGTTGCCAAAAAACCACTCTGTTTCTTCTTGTGTGGATACGCCTAGGATATGTAAACAGATTTCCCCAAGACTGTGCTTTGGGTTTCAGGCTGATTATTATTAAAACAGCGAACAAAAAGGGGATTACCTCCCTGTGAAAGATTTCCATTGAAATGAAACTTCTTGGATTTAATTTCAGCTGGTCTGGGGCCAGAGTGAGATGCGTCATGGGAAATAACGTTCAGAACAACTTAAGATGCAGAGGTCTGATTTTCCTCTGGAAGGAATATATATATATGTATTTGGGGGGGGGGGAAATGCTTCATTTTGAAGAATCCACCCCACCCCCTTCCATTTTGTTCTCTTTGAAAAATAAGGGGTGAGCTTCAAGGTCCAACAGCTTCAGTACTCCAGCCATTTCCCTACATTAGACAAAAGCAGTATCTCTGAATGAAAATGCATGCTATATAAAATCCTCATTACTTAAAAAGTTATTTTAAAGGCAGTTATTCTGAAGCTCAAAGGATGAAGGCCAAAAATGCTTTCAGGTATTCATAGCAAAGTGTTGTGCAAACTGAGTCAAATGAACTGAACAATGTTTTCTACCCATCCTCCACTCCCCAGCTTCAACTCATCTTAATCAGCACAATTGATGGCTCAAATCTCTACCACTCCAACCCCTGCTTCATCATTAGGACGGCGGTACTCTAGTATATCGTGCAAGAGTGGGATCTGCTTTTGCTTTTTATTAGAAACCTGAGGTCCACCTTGAGGGGCAAAATAGTGGCTTAGCACATGTTTGGCCTAAGAAATTAAGACCAGTACCAGAGCTGAGCTTACAATCCCTTCCACACAAAAAAACCCATTCCTGGTTTTCTTCCTAAGTCATATTTTTCAGCAACTGAGGGCAGATCCACCCTATACATTTAAAGTACAGTGGTACCTCGGGTTAAGTACTTAATTTGTTCCGGAGGTCCGTACTTAACCTGAAACTGTTCTTAACCTGAAGCACCACTTTAGCTAATGGGGCCTCCTGCTGCCGCCGCACTGCCGGAACACAATTTCTGTTCTCATCCTGAAGCAAAGTTCTTAACCTGAAGCACTGGATTAGCAGAATCTGTAACCTGAAGCGTATGTAACCCAAGGTACCACTGTATATTCAGTGTACATTTAAAGCACATGGAATCATAGAGTTGTAGAGCTGGAGGGGACCAAGAGAGTCATCTACTCCAACCCCCTGCAATGCAGGAATTGTTTTGTCCAATGTGGGGCTCAAACCCACAACTCTGAGATTGAGAGTCTCATACTCTACCAACTGAGCTATCCCATGACTCCCCCCAAAGAATCCTGGGAAATGGACTTCCCCTTCCACGAAACTACCATTCGCAGCACCCTGAAGAAACTACAGTTCCCAGGATTCTTTGGGGGAAGTCCACCAATGAATCGGGAGAGCACCTCCTCTGAAATTCACAAAAAAAACACTGCCAGCCACTTTGTAGAAAATACTGGGCTAAATGGACCAATGGCCTGACTCTTGTATAGGGCAGATTCCTGTTTTTCTATGCTGCTCATGAGCAACTTGAGCTGACTGGTGATGTTGCTAAGATCTCAGAAAGGGAACAGGAATGAAAAGGAACCTGGCCATCTTTTAAAAGCTTGTGTTAGACCAGCAATCCACCATCATCCATTGACTCTGATCATTGATCGTTAGTCCTTCTCTTCCTCCTCACCTTAACTCTGTAGATTGGATTTCCATTGACTCCCAAGCTTGCCCTATTTTCATGAGAAACGCCTATGGTGTTTTTGATCCCATAACCTAGATATTTGCTTCAGAGTATTGTCTTCATATATAGTCTGCTATAGCTAAGATTTAATGCTGTTTGGAGTGTTTAACTTTGCACGGCTACTGGTTAATCCTTTTTAAAAGTACTGGTTTGTTATTTTGAATTCTGTTTATATTTTTGCTCTGGTGAATTTTCTGTTGTACAAGTGGAATATAGATATCAAACGTAACTAACCTCCTGCTACATATCAACTTGGCTTGCTATATGCTCATCCAATGACTCCTAGCTTATCCCAATCTTAGGTTAATGTTCTTCTTACTGGCTCTGATCCCAGTAAGACCCTTCTGAACCATGATCCTGCATGACCACACATGACCCAGCCCATCAACTAAACACACTGGAAATATGGTCTTGCATGTTTCAAAAGCAGCTGGTTGTCTAAAGAGAACCAGTGGTCAAGGTGCCTACATAAAAAGGAGGCTCGATGAGACAAGTAATAAAACCTGCCCTCCCTTGATCATCCTCCGTCCCTGAACCCAAGCGATGAAAGTTTGTAGATCTTTGATTCAGCACACAAATATCACCTTGGGAAATAGACCCTGTTATCCTTTCGAAGGCGGCATGAAAGGTCAGCCGGCAAACAAAGGCTGGGCTGTTTGTAACAGGTTGCATGTCCCATATTTATTATGGATAACAATACTGGGGCGCTTTTTTCTTTTTCTTTTTCTAGCTTTGCTGATACAAACAATTCTCAGGCCCTTAAAAAGGCAACTGGTCTTTCAAAAACATTCCCTTCCCGCAAACATATTGTACAAGAATCGCCTCATTGATTTAACACACAATGTAATAGAAGGAAGATGATCAGCAAAACATTTCAGACACTTCACAGTGATAAAGCATTCATATTGCTCGCTTACAAAGTGATGCTCTGCTTGAACTGCACTCATTCTTACACCTTCTTATGGCAGCAGGGTACCATGCTATGTTGTTGTTGGAAGCGGGGCAATGATGCCTATGAAGCGATACCTTTGTGCTCATAGATGGTAGGGTAAAAAGTGAGCAGGGAAGCAGTGTGATACAAGGGCAGCAGAATGAAGGAAGAATCCTGTGTTCCATTAGGACTATTCCACAGAGTTATGCCTTCAATAGAGGTTCCATCAATTTAAATGCTCCCACTGAATTCATATTGTGAATGGACCATGATGAAGTTTATTTTATTTAGTGGTAAACAAACAAACAAACAAAGAAATCCTGTACCTATCATTGGTCTCTCTAGTATTGTATTGCCTACTATGACTGATGGCTGCTTTCTAAGTTCTCAGAAATACCGGTATATTTTTCCAATCACCGCTCTTTTTAACAGAAGATGTCAGGAACAGAACCTGGGACCTTCTGTGTGAAATGCATAAACTTTGCCATTGAGCTATGGCCTCTATAATCTCTCAAGTGTGTGGTGCAATATGGCCTAGCTGATGCTGCGCCATAAACTTCAATAGATCTACCTAATATCCCTTAAAAGAGTACAAGTACATTGGGATCGGGTTGTTGGCTAGAGATGCACCACAGGAGGAATGCACACACACAGCGTGCCCCTAAAATCTAGACCAGGGATGTCCAACAGGTCAATCACGGGGTGTCCCTGGTCAATCATGGGATCCTGATGCCCCACCTCCACCCCCCAAAAAAGAGGGGGGGAAAGCTCCACAACTTTGGCTCATCCTCTCCAAACAAAAGCTCCACAACTTTGATTAAATTTTCCCAAAAAAAAGCTCAGCAACTCTGGTCAATCCAATGGGCAGGTCACTGCCATTTTTTAAATAGTAGGAGTAGATCACAGTCTCTTGGAAGTTGGACAGCCCTAGTCTAGACAGTTACTATTTTGCATGAAGGATTCAAGCACCTTCTGTAAAATTAGACGTATGCAATTCCAGTGGGTTAAAATACTCTGTCACCCTAGTGCAACAAGCTAGACTTTTAAAAAGAGCCAGACTTTTTGCGGTTAGGAAAGTGATAGGGAAATGCATTCCAAGGTGGGCTGTGAATGAATGCTTTAATGGGAAGACATCAATCCTCTACAAGCAAATCAGAAAGAATGCAGGATGAATGCTCATTCTCAAATAACAAATCAGAACGAATAGAGTTTGCCCCACAAACAGATCAGAATGAATACTCAGCAACAACCAATACGGTCTAACAGTAAAAACTGTGTAAGCAAATCAGGGATGAATGCTATATGCATACATACATACATACATACATGCACACACACACACACATACATATGTTGTCTGGCGGAGCCTACAGAATTTCATGGCACTTAAAAGATGGGCAGGGCAATTCTAATCAGAGGAAACCAGAGCAAGTTCTGCCACCTGAGGTTGAAGGAGTTACACAAGTGCATCCCCAGCTGAACTGAGATGAGGATTGTGCTGTAAAATATTCTCAGTGGTCTAGCATCAGTTGCTGATGCCCGGGATGGTGTGTGTGCGCGCACGGGGTGGGGGGCACATGTCGGGTAGGTAGCCCTAGCCCAGCTCTTACCGCCTACACCACTGAAGTAACCTCACCTCCACTGGAAAAGCAAAGCAGGGCCACGCTGAGCCACCTGCCTGCCCATGCAGGGGGAAGCCCAGTTGGCCAACACGGCCCTTGGCAGGCAGATAGGAGAACCAAGTCAGGCCACACGGGGATTGCCTGCATGGAAGCACCTAGTTCACACCCCCTCAAAAATTATGCACCCAGGGCCAGGGCCCACCTGGCACACACACACACCCACACACCCACTATGCCCCTGCATGTACTGCAGTATAAAAACTGGCATAAACCTGGTCCCTGGATTAATCAAACTTTATCAGCACTGGTGCTTAATAACTGTTTTTAAACAAGAGCTTATTAATATAGATATTTTAAAAACTTTTCACAAATACATGATGGTCTCTCTTGTATATGCGTGTGTGTGTGTGTGTATGTAGGCTGTGGTCTAAACCACTGAGCCTCTTGGGCTTGCCGATCAGAAGGTCGGCGGTTCGAATCCCCACGACACAGTGAGCTCCCGTTGCTCTGTCCCAGCTCTTGCCAACCTAGCAGTTCGAAAGCACGCCAGTGCAAGTAGATAAATAGGTACTGCTGTGGCGGAAAGGTAAACAGTGTTTCCATGCGCTCTGCTTTCCATCATGGTGTTCCGTTGTGCCAGAAGTGGTTTAGTCATGCTGGCTACATGACCCAGAAAGCTGCCTGGGGACAAACACTGGCTTCCTTGGCCTGAAAGTGAGATGAGCGCCACAACTCCACCGTCACCTTTGACTGAACCTAACCATCCAGGGGTCCTTTACCTTTACCTGTGTGTGTGTGTGTGTGTGTGTGTGTGTGTGTGTGTTTGTGTGTATCCCAGCATGCATTAGATTTACCTGTAAAGAAGAAAAGTAGCCTATTTCTCCAGAAGTCCAGGAATGGTGTGCAGTTTCAAAAGGGATCAGGACAGAAAGGCAAGCATCAAGACTCGACTTGAGAGAAAAGAATGTGACAACTAATTTCTGAAGCGCTTTCCCCGGTAACTGGATAACCAAAGTACTTTAGTCAGCTGACTCACAGAGCAACACTGGGACATGGCTAGTTACCTGGATACCTGTTGCCGAAGGAAACACACACACAATGCCGTGAGGAGGGATGACATCAGCTACGGAGGGAAAATATCCCAACATGTCGTGGGGATGCAACTTGAGTTGGTGGGGTGAGCGAGAACGCAAAGAAAAAGGATCACTAAGTAATGCAAACGAAGGTTGCCAAATGTAACCAAAGCTACCCTGTAGCCTTAGCATTTGGCCATGTCGTATTTTGAAGCTGGAAATATACTTAAAGCAGGGTGTTGCATTAATCTCGCTCCTTCCTGAAGAAAAAGGGAATTGCTCATTTATCAACATCATCCTACTTGGAAGTCTGCACCAAAAGCAGGCAGGGGGAGGGCTTGTCAGGCGCCACCAAGGCTAGAACCAGAAATATTTCGTTCTGTGTTCAGCTGCCCCTTGCGCTGACCGGTCAGCCCTGCAACCAAAAATGTTTTCACAGGCTGTGGACTGGCTTCACCCACCCACACTGGGCCCTCTCAGAAAGGGAAAAAACTCTGTTCAAAACATGCATGTTGCCAACGAAAGAGATGCAACAGGGAATTGAGAGGCATGTAACTGCATCAGCAACATATGCCCTGGCTTTAAGATCTAAGTGTGCGCTCCACTTATTGCTGTGCAGATGAAACTAAATGATGACAAGGGGCACTTAATCTCCTATGAAACATTAGCCTTCCCGTAAACATTCAGGTGACGTAAGTGTGATGCTGTTAACATAGTTATCACGGTTAGCTTTTTGCTTTCCCAAAACTGGGGCCTTTTAAAAATGGGAAGGAGAAGACAAAAACTAGGGTGGTGTTTCGTTTTGTTTCTTGCATATACTGTAGAGGCATTAATCGTTTGAATCAAGGTGACATGGCTCAGATATGTGAGGAAATCATTTTAATCCATGAAACAGGAGGCTAGATCAATCATATTTCAGACA